GCTATCCAGGCTCCAATAATCGACATTTGCCGGGCAGCGACGTGGGCCTCCCCGTCACCCTTTATTAGGCATTACAGAATCGACAGATACGCCTCAGCTGAGGCTTCCTTCGGTAGGAGGGTTCTTCAGAGGGTTCTCAGGGAACCCGAAGGGACTGCAGACCAGACGGCGCCCCTCCCGTAGGACAGGCCCAGCTTTGGTATGTCCCACTCTCTGGATGCTCCGAGCAGCTCTAAGGAGAATGGGCGTTGGTTCTTACCTGACACGCCATTTCTCTTTGAGCTGCGAGGAGCATCCAGCCCCTCCCTTTTTCTTTCACCGTCTGGTGGGGTCTTGTTTCGGCCAATGAACCTTTAAGTTTAGTCAGATGAGAGCACGGATTCCTGTTTCCTCTCGTCTTCGCATAAACTGGGGGGAACGCTCCAATGGAGGCACGTGACGGAGGGAGGAGCGTTCCTCAAGAATTAGCTCAGCCTACAAGAGCAGAAGACTGAAGCACCACCCACTCTCTGGATGCTCCTCGCAGCTCGAAGAGAAATGGCGTGTCAGGTAAGAACCAACGCCCATTCACCTGAAATTGGCAACCAAGGTTGACATGTTATAGAAGTTGAGTATTGTAAAGCTTTCTATCAAAATTTAAAAATGTATTTGGGATGAGATCATTTTCAACAAATGGTAAACACAGGTAAACAGGAACAGTCAGATTTCTTTTAGTTTAATCCATGAACAGTATTTAGTAAATTAAGTTGCTTTATAACTGATATAGTATGTGTTTATAGCTAGTATTTGAAGAAGAGCAACAAAAAGCTTGTTCAGACATTTGCTAACATCATGGAACTGAAATGGTTCATTTAAGTCATCAAGCTCTGCCTTTATTTACTGTAGAATACAAACACAAATCTAACCCCTGCTTGAATATATTTAACAAAGGAACTAAAGAACTCTGTGTTTAATTACTTCCTCTTCCTGCCCTCTCATATCATGATGGTTTTCGGTGGAAATGTTTTTCTGAGCATTCCATTGCAATTTCCTTGTAAGACAAGTTATGGCTTGCTTCTCTGGCAAGATTGTCAGAACTGGGGTGGAAGTACTGATTTAAACCCATTAAACAAGGACCACTTGTCTAGGTATTATAAGCACTCTGCAATTACACCTGCAAGCAAACTGTTAACCAGTGCATCTTAATGATATCCAGTTATAAATCTCTAGGCTATCAGGTGATGCTATGCAGATTATTATTATTTTTAGTGTCTGGAGGCAGTGTGGGTCTGGATAGAGAAAAATAGGCTTTGGTTCAATCCGAGCAAGATCAAGTGGTTGTGGACTTTGATTCCCTGATACTGGATGGGATTATATTCCCCTAGACAGATTTGCTGTGTAATTTGGTGGTCCTCTTGGACTCTCAGGTCCTATAGGAAAAGCAAATGGTAGCCATGACCAGGATAATCTTTGCACAAATCCATATTATGCATCAATTTGCTAATTCCTAAATTGGGTGGTGCTATGCATACTCATGTTCTGTTCACCTCCTGTATGGACTAGTACAATATGATGCCTATGGGGTTGTCCTCCAAAACCACCTGGAAACTGCATTTGGTTCAGAATATACTACAAGGGTACAAGTGGTTATAAGTCCACTTTGGTATCACCCTGCAACACCGCTGCTTTACAAGCTGAATTGGTTAGTTTCAGCACCTGCACTCGATATTTTTGACAGATATATTAATCAAAGGGGATTTGATATAATCCCTTTGTTCTTATCTAAAACAACAGTTGGTATCCAATATAGCAGTCAGATTCCCAGCAATGAAAGTATGACAAGGTCATTTTGTTACTCAACCACCCCTCCCACAAAAAAGGATCACAGTGCATTTCCCCTCTCAATTGCCTTGGATTCTGATTGGCAAGAATTCTGGTGCAAAACTCATCACTCATCTAGATCCTTCAGAGGAAAATCCACATGGATCATGGTGCTGCAGCTCATCCCTCCCAATTTGAGTCTCTTCAGATGTATTGGGGCTACAGTTCCTGAAAGCAAGTATGTGTGTGATCAAAGGCCGTATAACTCTAAATAGCATCTACTTTGCTATAATATACTTTATACACCAGCTACTGTTTTAATACTTGCATTTACCTAGATGTATAAAAGTAAGAATGGAATTATCAAGCAGAAGTAACTGACAAAACCCTTACAATGCTCATAGAAGTCCTAAGAAGCCTGCATCAATGTTTACATTTAGCCTGAGAAATAGACAACCCCACAAATACAGGAAAGTCTCTTTCAATAAGCAGTTAGAAGAAATAAATCGATGACTTTCAAACGTCCAATTCCTCTTTCTCACCCTGCTCTACCCCCCCCCCCCAATTTCCATATGATATGTTATAAAACTAGGACTGGTACTGTGTGATGTGCGTGGTAGGAAAAATTAGAGATTATTTACCAGCCTGGGATTATTTACCAGCCTTCTGACACTGGCAAGCATCCTGCTGGGGTGGGAGTTGCAGGCTTCAAAGAGATTGGACCAGATGAAAAGACTTTTGGGCCAAATTTTTCCATGGAGAGCTAACAAAGAAAAAAAACTGATTTTGTTCACAAATAAGCAGCTGAGGGGGAGGAAGCTTTTATGCTGGATTGTGTTCCCTTAGCTTAGTTGGTTTTTCTTCACCACTAATCCCCCAAAACGTGGCCAAATAAATCATGTGTTGTTGTTTTTTAAAAAAGACATGCATATATAGTATGTGTTTGACCAGCAGATACATTTCTGTATGAAAAAGTGTGAGTGCGTGCGTGTGTTTCTTCTTAGATGTCTTTTTTGGAATGCCAATGTACAAAGTTAAGCTGTTCCCCTTAAATTTATTTTATTTATTTGATTTGTCAGTTGCTTACAAGATAATAAGTATAAGGATAAACATAATTATGAATACATATAAGAAAAATAAAAGAAACAATAGGATGGTAGGCACGCTGGTGTGCTTATGCACGCCCCCTACAGGCCTCTTAGGAAAGGGGTGAGGTCAATAGTAGACAGTCTAAGGTTAAAGTTTTTGGGGTTTGGGGAAGAAACCACAGAGTCAGGTAGAGTATTCCAGACATTGACCACTCTGTTGCTGAAGTCGTATTTCCTGCAATCAAGTTTGGTGCGGTTAACCTTGAGTTTGTATCTATTGTGTGCTCTTGTATTGTTATGGTTGAAACTGAAGTATTCATTAATAATAGTCTGGAAGGCCTCCAGCAGGTATAAGGAAAACAGAGGGAAGAAGGGTAGCATTATTATTAGCATAGACCTCAGCAGTCTACAGTATCCTTCATAGATCTTTCTACTGTTTAGCTGTTGATTAAAACATTGCTTGCAACAGGCTTCCCTATGCTGGAATCCCTCAGAATCATGCTTGGCACTACCTTGTCTTTTTGAATCAAAGTAATGTTACTTTTATCCTTCTGAAACTTTTAATAAACCCTGTTTATGCCACAAAGGGATTTTTAAATTAATCACATTTCTGATATTATAGTTTCTACTAAACTTTGGTTGTTTAATTATTTATCCAACCTATTAAAGTTTTACCGGATAAGACTTGAGACTGATCTGAAAGTGGATTTAAAAGTGACAGGTTACAAGAATGGGAAAAGATGCTACACTGGACATACAAACTGGCTGATGTTTTAATATTTAAAAAAGATGTACAAATAACAAACCAAAAGAGTGACCTGCATAACTTTCCTATATTGGATTTACAAATGAGACTTGTCAAAGCCTTGAAGAGTTATATGGGAAGAGATCAATAAACATAGAAATCAACAGGGCATTAAAGAGACTAAAAATAAGGTTTATTAAAAGTAAAAGGAAGGAATGTAAAATTGGTTTATTTTTTTAAGGTTAAGAGTAGATACGATGTTATCTCTGATAACCCTTTAAGGACTTTTGTTGATTAGGACTGAACAATGAGGCTTCAAGGATTTCTTTACACGGGTAACCCTTGACATGCAATCTTTTGTTTAGTGATTGAAGTTACAACAGCACTGAGAAAAGTGACTGACAAACCCTGTTCGCACTTACCACCATTACAACATCTCCACAGCGACATGATCAAAAGACAGGAACTTAGCAACTGGCATGTATTTTGGATGGTTGTAACCTCCCGAAGTCACACAGTTGCCATTTGTGACTTTCCCAAGATCAGTAGTTGTATTTTAAGAGAAGTTATTAAATTTGTTTATATTTTGATGAAGGAGAAAGTCACACACACACACACACAATATTCTTATTTTTCTTTGTAGTTTTTCTTTTTCCACATTCTATTTTTAGTTTATATTTGTATCTTTTTAATTATAATTTTTAATAAAATTACTATTTTAAAAAGCGCCCACATGGTTACCACAGTTCTGAGATGTCAGCTCTTTCCATTCAAGTGAAGTATAACGAGTAAGAAATAGATGTGTTTTGTGTGCCTGTAAATTTATCTGCTAAATTTTTGACATATCTCAAATACCAACAGTTTTATGTCTTTCCCTCCCAGATGTTATCACAATAATTCTGTATCGATACCCTTGCTTTTATTTTGGAACCTGCATGAATTCTGAAACAAGTTGTACCCTACAGGTTATAGGATTATGGAATGTGAAATCAAGTAGGCTCAGAGTCAGCAGTCTGAGGAATATTGCTTTCTTAAATTTGTCTGGTTTAGAATTACCTGAAACATTATCCACATAGCTCAGCATCTTGGAAATAATGAGACAGTAGCAAAGCTATTTTTAAATAATTTATTTTGTAGTAGTATATGGGTGTAATCTGCCTGACTCAAAATAGTTTGGTCTACTTATTTTATTTAGCTTTCCAAAGGCCAAACCGTTGGATAGTTACAGACAAAACAGAATTATAATTTATTGCCATGTTTTTTAAATTATTTTTTTGATTGTCCATGCTTATGTGCTTTAGTCATAATGACTGTTGTTAGTCCTGTATCGTAATGCAATTGATCTCTTGTTTCCCCCTCTGGTGCAGATACAATGCCATCAATCCCTGCTGAAACTGAAATGGATAAAATGACTTGCACTCATGTTTCGGTTGACTGCATACCCAATGGAATCTTGGAGAAGGAATCTTATAGTTCGCCAGAAAAGGAGAGGAAGTGGATCAGGCCTGATGCCATCAGCAAGTGTACCTGGGAGCTTGGAAAATCTCCTTCTGAATCACCCCATCACCATGCTACATTGTAAGTGGTTGTTTGGTCAATAGACAGGTGGAGGAAAGGCCTGTTTGGAAGGTGGCTTTTATTGCAGGATGGCCATTCAGTTTCATCCATTCTGATTTTAGTTGGGGGTAATGAACTTTAGGATTATTTTCCAATAATATTGTATAACTTTTTCTTTCTGGTGTAGAACAAAGACTTCAAAAATTATGCCGGATATCCTGAAAAACATTGGAGATACTCCCATGGTGCGTATCAACAAGGTTGGAAAGTTATGCGGCCTCAAATGTGAACTCTGTAAGTATTTGTTATAGTGATGCTTACTTGGAATTGTAAACATAAACATGTAATGGGGCTCTTAATTTCAAAGGACCAAATCAGTCAGGAATTTAGTAGACTTTGTGATTTCATTATTTTTGAACAATGATGCTGTTTATGATATTATTTTGCTTTCAGTGCAGCAGTTGGAAACTGACATACAATCACCTGATTCTCCAGTCTGTATATTGCTAGTGAGGCTTAAAACCCTAAATTGTATAAGAACAATTTAAGACGTTGCATGAGGAACGTGATGGGTAGAAAGAAAACTTCTTGGGAAAGAAGAGAAATAGCAATAACACTTATACTTATATATCGTTTTACAATGCTTTTCAGCCCTCTCTAAGCGGTTTACAGAGTCAGCCTATTGCCCCCAACAATCTGGGTCCTCATTTTACCCACCTCAGAAAGAGGGAAGGCTGGGTCAACCTTGAGCCTGGTGAGATTCGAACTGCCAAATTGCAGGCAGGCAGCAGGCAGCAGAAGTAGGCTGCAGTACTGCACTCTTAACCACTGTGCCACCATGGCTCACATAATGCCTTGGTAAGACCACATTGGGAATACTGCATCCAGTTTTGGTTGCCACAATATAAAAAAAGATGTTGAGACTCTAGAGAGCGTGCAGAGGAGAGCAGCAAAGATGATTAGGGGACTGAAGGCTAAAACATGAAAAGAACGGTTGCTGGAATTGGGCATGTCTGGTTTAATGAAAAGAAGGATTGAAGGGTGACATGATAGCAGTGTTCCAATATTTGAGGAGCTGCCACAAAGAAGAGGGAGTCAAGCTATTCTCCAAAGCACCTGAGGGCAGGACAAGAAGCAATGGGTGGAAACTAATCAAGGAGAGAAACACCCTAGAACTAAGAAATTTCCTGACAGAACAATTAACCAGTGGAACCACTTGCCTCCAGAAGTTGTGAATGCTCCCACACTGGAAGTTTTTAAGAAAAGATTGGACAACCACTTGTCTGACATGGTATAGGGCTTCCTGCTTGAGCAGGGGGTTGGATTACAAGGTCCCTTCCAGCTCTATTACTCTGTTCTCAGAACAAAAAAAGGTTCTGTATATGTCTGGTTTTGGGATCTGAGCTTATGGAAGAGGATTGTCAGACTACATGGTTGCTTATGGAAGGTACAGGATACTGGGCTAATCCAAAACCAGCTTCAGAATTGATTCATCAGAGGCTGTTTGTTTAGTCCAATATTCAATTTGTATATGCTATCATAGCTATAAATATAATACTTATAGATATCTACGTATATGTAGATATCTGTGCACATATTCAGATATGCCTTTTCTTAGAATACGGATAGATGAAATGGCATTTGCCAAATCCCTTGCAGAAGGTTGGTGGGCGTCACTTTCTTGCTTCATCTGAAACATATTCTACTTTAATTGTGGTATTCAGTGGCCAAATGCGAGTTTTTCAATGCTGGAGGCAGTGTGAAAGACCGAATCAGCTTACGAATGGTGGAAGATGCTGAAAGGGATGGGATTCTTAAGCCAGGAGATACCATTATTGAACCAACTTCAGGAAATACAGGTAAATAAATCCATTTGAAGTGTGGTATCGAGAAGTGAGTGGAATGGGATGTACTTTGCTGAATAGGGTCTCTCTCCTACCCCTGGTCTTGTCAGAAAATAAGACTAATAACAGATTTTAAAATTGTAAGGAAGTGACTGGATACTGAAGTGAGCAGGCATTAATTAAAAATGAGTAATGCAAGTCTTAGTTCTAACTGAATACTAAACACTGTTGGAACAAGTTTTACAAACTCGGGGGGGGGGGAAATAACTGTTTTGCTTACCGTTTTTTTAAACAGTATACATTTCCTGTCTGCTATATGATTAAGGTAATGATTTGACTGAGCAAATCAAATCATCCCTTTATGAAAGGATGAGGGAATGTTAAAGTGGTGTATACACAGTTTGGGACTATAATCTCATTCAGCCATGTAGGTGGTAGGTCAAGAGAAAAACATATGCATGGATAGAGATGTATGAAAAGTCTGTCTTACAGCTCAGCCATCTTTTTCTCCTGTTATCATTATGGGATCTAGCTGGTTCATAATGGCAGGACATAAAACAACTCTGGAATACAGGCTCTTGGGCAGCATTATCATATCTTGTTAGGATGGTCATTTTATAGATTAGTCTTTCTCCCTAAAATACCATATTTAACTCAAACACTGAGAGCTGCTACCAATGTGTAACAGAGATCAAGTAGAATGATATATTTCCAGAAGTTTTATACCACATATCCCATTAGTATCAGCCAGAAGGATTAACAGGGAGACTGGGAAATATCTGGAGGATGCCAGGTTGTTTATTCTTGGTATATGTATGGCTTTTTTTAGTGACATTTTTTTGGGTTGCAGGAATTGGACTGGCCTTGGCAGCTGCAGTGAAAGGATACCGTTGTATTATTGTAATGCCAGAGAAAATGAGCATGGAAAAGGTCAGAGCTGTTTATCACTGAGTGATCCACACATGGTTGCATAACTTTACTGAGGCACCTTAAGTCAGCAGTGGTGGGTGTGAGAAAGCTGGACTCAACTTGCCATCTTAACATTTAACAAGGTTCTGCATGGGTTTTGTTAACGGAGCTAAAATAGCTGGTCTGGAACCACATTTGGTTTTGAATTGGCTCCATACCTGTAACTACTTTAATATTCTAGTTGCATAAGCATTGCCTATGCACAGACATAGACATTTTGGCTAATTTGATTATTGTTCTTAAACAGGTGGATGTACTACGTGCTCTTGGGGCTGAAATTGTGAGGACTCCAACAACTGCTAGATTTGATTCTCCAGAATCACATGTTGGAGTGGCATGGAGATTGAAAAATGAAATTCCCAACTCCCATATCCTGGATCAGGTAACTTATTGAACAAGAAAAATGGCTTCACTCTGGAAAATAGTTTCTTTTCATTTATTCCTGCACTGCCAATATAAAGCAGAAAAAATGCTTACATATTAAGAAATAGAATGAGAGGAAAAGTGGATGATGGAAACATGCTTATCTTCTACTATTCATTGATTCGTTGTGACTCTCCCTGCAGATCATTGTAGGCCAATCACTGCTTAGATCATAACAAATTAATAGGGTGAAACATTGCTGTTCTCCTGTTCGACTGGTTTCAAGTGAACTTTTGTACAATCTCTCTCTGATGGACCTTCTTTATAGGATTTTAGCTATTAAAAAGGAGACACTCTTGGCACATAAGGATCAGCACAATACAATTTTTCCCCAATATAATATAACAATGCAATTACTCTACATACAAAGGAAGGGGAGGGGTGGAAGGTAAAAAAGGAGAGGGAGGGAGGGAGGAAATTTGTGCTCTATGTTTGAGTTTAGAATGGTTTTCTTTGTGATCCTTAGTAAATTAATGTTAAAAGCATTACTTTATTTTCTGTTTTCTATACACACACACACACACACATAATTTACATATAGAAATATCTAACACAATGTGACCATCCTGGCATTTCCTCCACCATATACACTAAAATAAAAGACAAATAACATATATGCTATTTATACATTGCTAGTCTTGTACAGTTGTTTTTGACCGATATACTCATTTTGACGTATATATAGTCTTACATTCCGGGTCTGCTTAGCCTAGTTATTTCATGTTCCAACTCCCACCTCTCAATTCCAGCCATTGGTATTTTATTTGATTTTTCTGTTTTCTGATGCACTTTATAGCAAAAATAAAAATAGCATTGATATTAAAAAAAGCCAAAGGAAATAAAACAGCAACTCAAGCCATTTAAAATTCACTCTATTGGGGTGGGGGATGTCTGTTTGTGTCTTTGTAGGTGTGGTATATCTTGCATCTGCATTATTTCGGAATCTCACCTGCAGTGCTACTGAACAGATCAACCTGTTGTTGATCTTACATTTTCTCCATTCTCTCCCATTTTTTTACACAGTACCGCAATGCCAGCAACCCCTTGTCTCATTATGACACAACAGCAGAGGAGATTCTTCAACAGTGTGAAGGTACGTTTTATGCTTTACAAACAACTCTGTCATGGAAATGGGAGCTTCTTAGGAAACTGAAGCTATGTTAGGAGAGATTGATTAATGAGAACATGAGAGCATTCAGTCCAACAGACAACTAACTTTGCAGATAATTTGTAGGACTCGGCCAGTGGCCAAGTTACTTCCACACAAAATTTGTTTTAAGAGGTGGAATGAATAAAGATGTAAAAAAAAAAAAAGCACAAATCTTAGATCTGAATGAACAATTGTTGAATTCGTAGATTGTTTAAAACAGATTTAAGAACCATAGATTTTTCAAGGTAGAATATGTTCCACAATCACAATAGCCCAAACCTGCAAAATAGTTGTCTAAAGCCTATACTGCAAGTTCCCTGTAATGTGTGTATATATGTTCATGTGAGTATAAGTCAACCCAAATCTATTTCAAAGCAGCAGCTTCCACACACATACACAATTCCCAAATCAAAGTTTTACCATCCTCCTTTCTCTGCTAAATGTTGTGAGTATACCATGAAGAGAGGGCTTTCTTAAACCTCACCTGATCTTGTTGGGCAATATTCAATTGAATACCTGCTTTGAACCTCAAACTGAGTACTCCCATGGTACAGGTGACATTTTTCTATAACTGGTAGCATTTGTTTATGATCTTGCTTTGGAGCAAAGGGGAAGGCTAATATTCCCATATTGGCATAGCCACTAGACTGGATTGGTTTTGTGGGTGGAGATGCCCCATTCATGCTAAAGCTTTGAGGTCATGAGATCTTTCCATTCTTGACTCATTTATTCTTAAAATAGTATTTGTGTGCAACAGGTTCAGTTGAAGCCTACTTAATGAGATAGTTGCAACGAGTGTACATGCTAACCATATTTGTATACAGAAGTATCTATGATACCCCTATTGCATGATCCAGACTGAAGAGATGGCAGAATACCAAAGAGTGCTGTAGAACCTTTATAGCGAAACAATAATTTTGATTTGGTTTACATGAGATACTAAACCCCATACAAATGATATTATAGCTTGGTATGTTGTATGAACAGGAGTCTGACTTTCCCATTAACAGTGACCAATTTAGAAAATACATCAGTCATTTTCTTTAGACATTACTAAAAATAGCCTGAGGACAAGTTAGGGGAAGCCATGCATACCTTGAAATATGTGAATTTGGGTGGAGGCTCAATGTATTTTGGAAAAAATAATCCAGTTACAGCTGCTACTCATTTAATAACTATCTTGGTTAGTGGTTATTCACAAGTCAACAATAATAAACAGTAATAAAAAATAAATCCTGGCCAATGCCTGCTAATAATTCTGTTACTAACTGGAAACCAGCAGAGGGAGCTCTTACATAAAAAGTCCCTTTTTGCTTCTGTGTAAGACAGAGCAGAACAAGCTTTGAAAATAAGTCAGAAGAAGCACTAAGGACTTTACACAGGCCCAGAGACCCTTTTCAAATTTCCATGTAAACCCAAAGGAAGGTGTTGCTGTTTTAAAATTTGTCTTAGTGTTACTGAATGAATTCTTCAAGCAACAGCACCTGTTTCTTTGAGTCACCGAGCTTGAAAAATATTGGGCTCTTTTCATGACCAGCAGAAAGTGCTGCCTTCATGCAAGATCCAAAGCACTTCTTCCAAATAAGTTTTAAAGTGTGACCACCTCTAATGTAAAGCAATTCTTCTTAGATTTTTTAATACTTACCTTAATTTTAGGATGTATTGGGAAGTATTGGGAAATTGCTTTAAACTTCATGTTGCAATTTAAATTAAATATGGAGATGTTTAATAGATGAAATTGATAAGAGGACAGAGACTCAAGTATTTTGGAAGAAATCCAAAATAAATTTAGTCATGTCAGGGAAATGAGATAAATACAGGCTTCTTTTGCAAAAAAAAATTGACCAAGAAATTAGAAGATGGATCTTTGCATCTTATGTTAGCAACTGCAGGAACTTTCCAGTTGCAGCCTAAGAGTTTTGTACCTAAAAATGAAGACACCTTAAACATAACCTATTATTACATAAACTTTTGTGGATCATTATTTCATATGAGATGCAGAGAATGCAGTTCTTAGAAAGGAATATTATATAACCCCAAGCTGTAGCTTGGACAGGAGGAGATAAAAGGCAGAAATCATATAAGGAGAGGGTAGAGTTTTGAGAGAGCTAACTATTCATTCTTGCATTCAAGCTGATTATAAAAAATGTGATACAATAAGAACTGATTGCTTTATCAATCAATGTTAATATACAGGTAGTCTTCAACTTACAGTAGTTCATTTGATGACTATTTAAAGTTACAATGGTGCTGAAAAAAGTGACTTATGACCATTTTTCACACTCCTGACCATTGCAGCATCCCTATGGTCATGTGATTTACATTATGATACTTGACAACAGACTCACATTTATGACGGTTGCAGCATCCTAGATCAAGTAATCACCTTCTGCGCCTGTGATGACCCGTAGTCTCTCAAAATAACCCAAAACCCAAAACATACATTAAAGTCCGGTAAGGCCTTCAACTTAACTTCACTGTTTTATTAGGCACAGTTTAAAGTCACAAAAGTAAATAATGAGGCTAACAGAAAACCAAAACAAACCGCATTGATGAGAGTTCTGAAGCAAGCCGAGATAACTAATCATAAACTCCAGGAAAATAACCGAGAAAAATCCATGGGAAGAACGCCAGCAAAGATAAACCTCTTTCAAGGTAAACACTAATTGACTCCAGCAATTCTAACTACATAGTTGTAAACTTATATACGTAGCTCCCACCTGCAAGCCACGAGCAGGAGCATGGTAATCTCCTCTTGAGTAGACCTCGCTTTTCCCTGATCCTCTCCTCCCTGCGTGACCTAGGATGGATAGGGGATGGGCCTGGATCCTCTTCTGATTGCTCAGCCAGCCTCTGCCCTTCCCCAGCCTCCTCCACCACCTCTGGAGCCAAACTCCCACTCCCTGTTGGCCGTTCCTCGTCTTCCTCAGAGTCAGACTCTATCAGGGGCATGACACTATCCCCCACCGCAGGGCCCCCTCCCCCAGGACCAGGTGGACGAGGACGTTGAGGAAACCGAGCGTGAAAGTCCTGGACCAAACGAGGAGCATGAACATCAGTGGCATCGACCCAGGTGAAGTCCTCTGGTCCATAACCTTTCCATGCCACCAAATACTGAGATCGGCCCCGCAACTGGCGTGAATCTCGGATGCTATCCACTTCGTACTCCTTCTCTCCCAGAGGGGCTACTGGGGCCGGCTGTGATGGAGCCGGTCTATGTGGACTGTCAGGCGAGACAGGGACTAACAGGGAACAATGAAAAACAGGATGGATACTCATGGTCCGTGGCAGGGAGAGATGATAAGCCACAGGATTGATCACTGCCTCGACCGGAAAAGGTCCCAAGTAACGGTGATCGAGCTTTTTTGATGGTTGCGTCGTTGGTAAATATTGAGTAGGGAGCCAAACCTGATCGCCGACCGCTAAAGGTGAAAAATCGCGACGATGTCGGTCTGCAAACCATTTATAGTCTTCCTTGGCTCTCTCTAGTTGATTGCGGACCATGTGGTGCACAGCTTTTAACTCCTGCAAAAATGTATCCACTGCCGGAACTGAGGAATCAGACGGGGCTAAAGGGAAAAGTCATGGATGAAACCCATAGTTAGCAAAGAAAGGGGACACGCGAGTGGATGCATGTTGAGCATTGTTATAAGCAAATTCTGCCACCGGCAGCACTTCCACCCAATTGTCTTGTTGAGTATTGCTGAAACAGCGGAGGTACTGCTCCAAAATAGCATTCACTCTCTCTGTCCCCCCATCAGTTTTGGGGTGATGAGCAGACGACAGACGCCTGAACCTGCAGTTTCGCGAGTAGGGTCTGCCAGAAGCGTGCCGTAAATTGTACACCCCCCCCCCCGATTTGATACCATGCGGTCTGGTAACCCATGCAACTGGAAAACGTGGGAGATAAACAATTGAGCTGTTATCTTGGCCGATGGAAGACCTGCACATGGAATAAAGTGGGCCATTTTAATCAACATATCCACCACCACCAAAATGGTTGTGGCACCATTCGATTGTGGTAACTCAACAATGAAATCCAATGAAACTGCCCCCCACGGTCGTTCTGGCGTGGACAAGGGCTGCAAGAGACCAGGGGGCGCACCAGAAGCATACTTGGCTTGGCGACAGATCCCACAGGACACCACATATCCCGACACATCATGCTTAAGTCTCGGCCACCAAAATGTTCTAGAGATGAGCTGCAGTATTTTGAACACCCCAAAGTGTCCTGCTGCCGGACTATCATGACATTGATGTAGGATAAGGCCACGAAGAGGACCTCCAGGCACATAAATGCGATCACGGAACCGCAACAGTTCCCCAATATAAGCCCAAGGAGTTGTCTTCCATTCTCATCCAATTCTCGATGTTGAGCTGCCACAAATGGGTCCTGCCGCTGTGCCTCCTAAATCCTCACTCAAAGGTCCACAGGTTCCTCAGTGGCTGCAAACCACTCCAACGAAATCACCGTCCGGGGCAAGATTTTATCCTCCCTTCGGGTATACTCGGGCTTCCGAGATAGGGCATGGGTTTCGTTGATTCCCTCCACTCGGAACATAGGTCACTCGGAAATCGAATCGAGCAAAGAATAAGGACCATCTCACCTGACGCTGGTTCAATGTCCGAGCTGTATGGAGGTGTTCCAAATTGCGATGATCCGTCCAAACCTCGATTTGGTGATGAGCCTCCTCCAGGTGGTGCCACCATGTCTCAAAAGCAACTTTAACTGCCAATAGCTCCTTGTCCCAAATTGTATAGTTGCGCTCTGGAGCCGACAACTTCTGGGAATAATAAGCGCACGAGAACAAGGTGCCTGCAGGAGCATAGGCCTGGAGGAGCACTGCACCAACAGCCACATCGGAAGCATCTGTTTCCATCACAAATGGCTGACCTGGATCAGGGTGTTTGAGGATAGGCTCAGAAGCAAAGGCGACTTTCAACGCCTCAAAAGCTGCCTGCTCCTCAGCACCCCAATGGAACTTCTCCTTCTTGAGCAGATTAGAAAGGGGAGCAGTCAATGCAGCAAAGCGGGGAACAAATGTGCGGTAGTAGTTTGCAAACCCGAACAGTCGTTGCACATCCTTAACCCGCTGTGGAGGTTCCCACCCCTGCAACGATCAAATTTTTCCCGGGTCCATTTCCACCCCAGCAGGTAAAATACGATGTCTCAAGAAGTCAATCATGGTTTGTGCAAACTGACACTTCTCACGTTTAGCAAACAGATGGTTATCACACAAACGTTGCAACACCAGCCGCACATGCTGCCAATGTTCCTGCAGGGAGTCTGAGTAAATCAAAATGCCATCTAAATAAATGACCACGAATTGATCCAACAAATCACAGAAAACATTGTGCATGAAATGCATGAACACAGCTGGGGCATTGGTTAATCCAAAAGGCATCACGGTACCTACTCAAAATGCCCGTTACCTCATCCGGAAAGCTGTTTTCCACTCGTCCCCTGCACGAATGTGAACCAGATTGTAAGCCCCACGCAAGTCCAACTTGGTAAAGATCTTAGCTTGACGAAGCCGCTCAATCAGTTCAGGGATGAGGGGAAGCGGGTACCGATTCCTCACTGTGATTGCATTCAGCTTGCAGTAATCACAACACAAACGTAGCTCCCCCGATTTCTTTTTTTACAAAAAGCACCGGTGCAGCCAATGGGGAGGTAGAAGGCTGGATAAACCGTTTCCGGAGGTTCTTCTCAATAAAATCCCACAACGCAGGCAACTCCGGTTCTGACGGAATATATCCGACCCACCGGCAATTTTGCATTGGGCAACAAGTCGATTGGACAGTCATACGCCCAATGCGGAGGCAACTGATCCACCTTCTTTTCCCCAAACACATCAGCAAAGTCCACAAACTCTGCAGGTAGATCCAGGTCCACGGGCGTAGCCACACTCCCTGCACAGGAGAGCAAGCAATGGTTGGCACACCTATCAAGGAACTGCACAGCTCCAGAGACCAGACAATCTGTGGATCGTGGGCCTGTAACCACTCCAAACCCAGCACCACCGGAAAATGAGGCACTGCTGCAACGTAAAACACAGTTTCCTCCACATGCTGTCCAATACGCATGCAAAGGGGTTTGGTTGCTGCAACCACAGGTCCCGAACGAAGGGGCCGACCATCAATCGTCTCCACCGTTACTGGTGGAGATACCTGTTGCTGAAGAATGAACCACTGCTTGACAAAATGAGCATCCATGAAATTGGCTGTGGCCCCTGAGTCGACCAAAGCTGGGATCTCCACCGCTCCCACACCAGGCACAAACACTTGCTGGCAGCACAAGATGCTTCACCAATGGCGACTGTGGTGGAGATGTCAAAGGTGGCGAGGATGGCAAGGTTGGTGAAGATGGCGGGCCTATGGACTTTACACCCCGACCTGCAGACCCCCGTAGGCCGAGCGATGCTCGTTTCCCGCCACCGCAGGTGTCACTGCTGTGGATGACTTAACAGGACACTTAGCCGCAAAATGGCCTCGATTGCCAAAATAGAGGCATAAACCATCACCACGACATCTATTCTTTTCTACTTGAGTCAGGCGAGGGCAGCCAGCCCCCAACTGCATGGGTTCCTCCAAAGGCATTTCCACCAAGGGCGCCATCTTGCTGGAAACAGATACGGTCTTTGTCCGTCATCTCACCCGTCACTGCTGAAGTCTAGCATCGATACGAAGACACAAATGCATGAGCTCCTAAAGGGTGTGAGGGATTCAGTGCACGCCAACTCATCCAGGAGTTCCGACGACAAACCCTCCTGGAACTGGTCTAAGTGCTGCCTCATTCCATTGTACATCCTGAGCAACCACCCGAAAACTAGCAATATAATCCATGAGTGAGCCACGCCCCTGCTTCAACTCTCAAATGTCTGTTTGCTGTTTGGCTTCGAACAGGGTCCTCAAACATGGCCCGAAACTGACGGCAAAACTCAGCATAATTGTCCAACACGTGGTTGGGCTGGGTCAGCAGAGGCGTCGCCCAACGTGCGAGCCTGACAACAAACTAATCAAAAACCCCACCTTATCCCAGTCAGTGGGAAAGTCCTCAGGCCGAAGGCTCATGTAAAGCTTAGCACTGCCCCCAAAATGCTGGAAATTGGGCCAGCGAACCATCAAATTTATCTGACACTGCCACTGGGCAATTTCGGCGTGGCCGGGGAGCTTGCATTTGTGCCACCTGTGCAGTCAAAAGAGCCACTTGCTGAGTTAACTGGGCAATCTCTGCTCTGAGCTGGTCCATGGTCACCCCACAAAAAGCAAAAATAAGTTGAAGAGGTGGCTAGAGTCAAAATATGATGACCTGTAGTCTCTCAAAATAACCCAAAACATATATTAAAGCCCGGTAAGGCCTTCAACTTAACTTCACTGTTTTATTAGGCACAGTTTAAAGTCACAAAAGTAAATAATGAGGCAAAAAGAAAACCAAAACAAACTGCATTGACGAGAGTTCCGAAGGAAGCCAAGATAATTAATCATACACTCCAGGAAGATAACAGGGAGAGTCCATGGGAAGAACGCCAGCAAAGATAAACCTCTTTCACAGGAAACATTAAATTTTGACTCCAGCAATTCTGACTACGCAGTTACAAACTTATATACATAGCTCCAAGCTGCAAGCCACGAGGAAGATCATGGCAATCTCCTCTTGAGTAGACCTTGCTTTTCCCTGATCCTCTCCTCCCTGCGTCACCTAGGATGGATAGGGGATGGGCCTGGATCCTCCTCTGATTGCTCAGCCGGCCTCTGCCCTTCCCCAGCCTCCTCCACCACCTCTGGAGCCACATTCCCACTCCCTGTTGGCTGTTCTTGCTCTTCCTCAGAGTCAGTCTCCACCAGGGGCATGACAGCACCCTTCTGACAAGCAAACTCAATGGGGAAACCAGATTCACTTATCACCCGTGTTACCAATTTAAGAACTGCAGTGATTCACTTCACAAATGTGGCAAGAAACGTTGAAGAATGGAACAAAACTCAACCAATTTCTCACTATAAATTTCTGGCTCAGTTGTGGTTGTAAGTTGAGGACTACCTGTAATTGCCACAATTTATATAAGCCATATTGAGTAAAGTATGAATGGAAAAAGAAGTAGGTCAGTATGTTCTTATACATAAAATACCTAAAATATGAAATGCTCATCAACATTTGATAGGCTGATAAAAGTAGGGATTGTACTAAAATGACAAATACATAGAGCTACTTTTTTTCCAATGACAGCTTTCAGAATGTATAATAGGAACGTGAGACATCCCATTATTGTATCCTCTTTTTCGGAGTTACTAATAAGAAACCATCTTGACTTAAGTAAAAGCATAATAAATGTTTGTTATAGCTCATCTAGATACAGCTTTTTAATATTGGTAAAATATTTCTGCCTCTTCAATAGGTCAAGTAGACATGATTGTGGCTGGAGCTGGCACAGGAGGCACCATCAGTGGTATTGCCCGAAAAATCAAGGAAAAGTGCCCTGGATGCACAGTAAGTCCCAAAGAAGAACATCAGGTTCACTTCTGAAGTTACTGATAGGGGTTTCTCTGTGTGTGTAAACACATGTACACATGCCTTGTAGATTACAGACACTGTTACAAATGGCAGGTGATTCAAAAACGGTATTTCCTTCTCCATGCAAACTGTACAAGAGACAAATAAAATGTTTTATCTTGCTGATTACAAAGGTGATTTACAGTCATTCCTTTATGACTGAAATCTTGTTTGTTGAAATGGCTATTTTTTATAAACCTGATTGCTCTTGGGTTCATTTGCTACATTTAGCCATGGGAACATGTCTGCATGTCCAGAATTTGGACTCCTTGTATGCTCAGTTCATTCCTATAATGATTACACTTATTTTTCAAGCACCAAAGAAATACTATGATATGTTACCACATGGCAGAACCTAGTGGCTTTACAATCGTATTAAATGAGTGAACAGACATTCTTGGTGTATCTTATGTATTATTACATATGTTTTTTGGTAATTTCTTCCCTTTGTCTCAACATTAGCTGCTGGCATAGCACTATCCAATATGAACTTTCCCATTTATTGAGAACACTACAGATGTTATGTTCAGTTTCTGAGAAATAAAATCAATGCAGAGAAATTGTTATTAGTTGTGAAGTCGTGTCTGGCCCATTGTGACCCCATGGACAATGTTCCTCCAGACCTTTCTGTCCTCTACCATCTTCTGGAGTCCATTTAAGCTCACGTCGACTGCTTCAGTGACTCCATCCAGCCACCTCATTTTCTGTCATCCCTTCTTCTACTGCCCTCAATCTTTCCCAGCATTATGCTCTTCTCCAGTGAGTCCTTCCTTCTCCTTAGGTGGCCAAAGTATTTGAGTTTCATCTTCAGGATCTGGCCTTCTAAAGAGCAGTCAGGGTTGATCTCCTCTACGACTGACCGGTTTGATCGCCTTGCAGTCCAAGGGACTCACAGGAATCTTCTCCAGCACCATAGTTCAAAGGCCTCAATTCTTTGGCGCTCAGCCTTTCTTATGGTCCAACTTTCACAGCTATACATTGCAACTGGGAAAACCATTGTCTTGACTATACACACTTTTGTTGGCAGGGTGATGTCTGCTTTTTAGTATGCTATCTGGATTTGCCATAGCTTTCCTCCCCAGGAACAAGCGTCTTTTAATTTCTTGGCTGCAGTCCCCGTCTGCGGTGATCTTGGAGCCCAGGAAAATAAAATGTGTCACTACCTCCATTTCTTCCCCATCTATTTGTCAGGAATTGAGAGGGCCGGATGCCATGATCTTAGTTTTCTTAATGTTGAGTTTCAAGCCAACTTTTACATTTTCCTTCTTCACCCGCATCAAGAGGCTCTTTAGTTCCTCTTCACTTTCTGCCATTTAGAGTGGTATCATCTGCATATCTGAGGTTGTTGATATTTCTCCCGGCAATCTTAATTCCAACTTTTGATTCATCTAGCCTGCCTTTCTCATGATGTGCTCTGCATATAAGTTAAATAGGCAGGGTGACAGTATACAGCCTTGCCGGACTCCTTTCCCAATTTTGAACCATCAGTGGTTTTGTGTCCAGTTTTCACTGTTGCTTTTTTACTCGCATATAGGTTTCTCGAGACAAATAAGATGGTCTGGTACTCCCATCTCTTTAAGAACTTGCCACAATTTGTTGTGATCCACACAATCAAAGGCTTTAGCATAGTCAATGAAGCAGAAGTAGATGTTTTTCTGGAACTCCCTAGTTTTCTCCATGATCTAGTGTATGTTGGCAATTTGATCTCTAGTTTCTCTGCCTCTTTGAAATCCTGCCTGTAGTTCTGGTAGTTCTCAATCCACATACTGCTGGAGTCTAGCGTAGGATTTTAAGCATAACTTTACTAACATGTGAAATGAGTGCAGTGGTGCAATAGTTTGAACATTCTTTGGCATTGCCTGTCTTTGGAATTGGAATGTAAACTGAACTTTTCCAATCTTGTGGCCACTGTTGAGTTTTCCAAATTTGCCGGCAAATTGAGTGTAGCAATTTTATTGCATCGTCTTTTAAGATTTTGAATAGCTCAGCTGGAATCCTGTCACCTCCACTAGCTCTGTTGTTGCTCAGATTTCCTAAGGGCCATTTCACTTCACATTCTAGGATGTCTGGCTCAAGGTCAGTGACCACCTCATGGTGGTTATCAGGGACGTTAAGCTCATTCTTGTATAGTTCTTCTGTGTAATTTTGCCACCTCTACTTAATCTCTTCTGTCTCTATTAGGTCCCTGCCATTTTGGTCTTTTATCATGCCCATCTCTGCATGAAACTTTTCCTTTATATCTCCAATTTTTCTTGAAGAGATCTCTGGTCCTCCATATTCTATTGTTTTCTTCTATTTCTTTGCACAATCCTTCTGTTTGTTATTATACCTAATGCTTTTGGAAATAAGGTTTTGGCTGCTAGTGTTGTATTGATAAGAGTGGAGTGGGTTAACATATTTCTGGATAAACTACTGCTCTTACATTCCAGGTAAACATTTAGAAAGGAAAAAAATGAATCAGAGTTCCATAAAGAGTGGGAAAAATAAGCATCTAGGAAAACTTTTGATTAAAAAAAACTGAGAAAAGTAAGGTGCTCCATCCCCACTGTCCATCTATATTAAAACTCATTATCTCTCAGGATAATTTTCTGTTTTGGAAGCAAACCCAAGAAGTTGTACTTTCTTTATATACGCTTGCATGATTTGCTGTCTTAAGATGAGTACATATACATTCTACTTTAATTTCTTTTCTTAAATTAAGAAAAACTATGCTAAATTTGGTGGGAAATCAAAATTTACCCAAGTAGGAAATTTTTTCCATAGGACAATTATTTTAAAATTGTCCCAGATCATGGAATTACACAAATACCAAATTAATAAGGGCAAATGATTTTTATTTATTTATGGTTCCAGACTGAAAAATGGAATACCTACACAATACTTAACTTTTAAATGGAAGTACCAAAAGTTCCATTATTCAGTTTAGACATTGTCTTTTTAATTTCTGTGTATTTAACATCAAAATACTATTTCAATAACAAATTGCTCTGCAGATTGTAGGTGTTGATCCTGAAGGATCTATTCTAGCGGAGCCTGAAAAATTAAACATAACTGACAAGACAACTTATGAAGTGGAAGGTATTGGATATGATTTCATACCCACAGTTCTGGATAGATCGGTAAGGAAGGTTTTTATATATACATACTTATATATATATTTGCTTTATTGCTGTGATTTTTAACCTTGGCAACTTTAAGACTTTGGACTTCTATTCCCAGAATTCCACACCTCTTAAAATTGTCACAGTTGAGAAATACTGCTTTAGTGTGAACCTCATTGAAATCTCTTTCGTTCTTAAGTGCAAGACTAATCTTTTTTCTTCTTACTTCTCTGATCCAAACTTAGCCTTTAATCTTTGTGATATTCAGGTTTTATTTTGATTCCTGATCTTTAACAGATCTGATCCTACTTTTGTCAATTTCTGAATTTTGGAAGACAAATTATTATTACATGGATTTTCCAATATTTATAACAGGACTTATTCACAGTAAAACATGACTTAGGTGCTCTTTCTTAAAAGCAGTCTGCTTGCTTTATATAGCTTGTATAGATTAGCTAGACTTTTGAGCAGTGAACAGCACAGAAAAAATGGAAGATTCAGAAAGGTATTGTAAGGTACTTAAATGGGAACATTTGAGGATTGATGAGATGCCCTGTTGACAAAAGGGAAAAACCCTGGACTACTGTATTTTAATTGTACTGTAATTTAATTGTATTATTGGATCCAGATAATATTTTTTCCTGACATTTGTATCAGTGGACCTAAAAATCCACTGCTAAATCCATTCCTCCTTTCCATACAATTTCTGACATATCTAATCAATTCTGGTCATCCCAAATGAGATTGAAGCAATAGCAACCAGCAGGTTTTCAACAGAATAGCTTGCCTCCTAGGGTTGTGGGTGCTTCATCACTAGAGATTTTCAAAAAATAGACTGGACAACCACTTGACCAGGATGGTATAAGATTGCCTGCCTGGAGCAGGGCGTTGGATTACAACAGTGGTCGGCAACCTGTAGTCCGCAGCCCACTGGTGGTCCACGAGAAAATGTTGGTGATCCACAGAGAAATGTCACCCCCAGAGCAACCCCCCAAAGCAATTAATCCAGGCTGCATGGGAACACAAGGCTGCGCCACCCACATGGCCCGCGGGAACCCTCCCCACCCACTCACTCCTTACCTGGCAAACTTGCCTGCTAAGTTGCTATTTTTCCTTCCCCCCCCCCCAACCATCAGCTGTTCTGTGCCGGGAGATTTAGATTAGCTAAATTAGGAAATCGTTGCATTTCTTGTTTTCTAGCTAATCTTTAGATCTTCGGCTGTGCTTTTAAGCAGAGCTGAACCTTCCTTAGGACTGAAGGTTCTATTATTCAGTGCAGGCAGCTGATGGCAGAATCGTAGTTCTCTGAGTGAATCTTTGATTCTGTGAGCAACTCAATCTGCCTGCCTGCTTTGCCTGATTTTGGGTAAAAGTTGCTCTTTTTTATAAAAAAAAAAATCAATATTTACATACATGGTGCTTTGTGAGTTAATTTTATGAGTTTGCTTGCAAGCACATTTTATGTGACAGACACAGATAGCCAATGGCAGAAAGATAGATCTCTTAATCTGTGATTCTGTGAGCAACTCAATCTGCCTCTTGCCTGATTTTGGGTAAAAGTTGCTCTTGTTTATAAAAAAAAATCAATATTTACATAAATATTTATAATATTTACATACAAGCCATGCCCAGACAGTCACATGGCCACCAAACCACACCCACAAACTAGGCCCTGCCCAAGAACCGGTTGTTAAGAAATTTGAATCCCACCCTGTTAAGAAATTTGAATCCCACCCTTGTGTGTGTGAGAGAGAGGGAAAGAGAGAGGTTAGATCAGCTCTCTCTCTTTCTCTCTCTCTCTCTCTCTCTCTCTCTCTCTCTCTCTCTCCCTCTCCCTCTCCCTCTCCCTCTCCCTCTCCCTCCCTCCCTCCCTCCCCACCACCACCACCAACGTCAGCAAACCACATCAATCAAAATTCATATTAGTGGTCCCCGGGATTTAAAATTATGAGTTTGGTGGTCCCTGAGGTCGAAAAGGTTGGCAACCCTGGATTGGAAGAGCTCCGAGATCTCTTTCAGCCTTATGAATCTAAGTTCTAGTACCAGTGGATGACTTGTATGAAACAACAGGTCTAGAATAATGTTTTTGTGTCCTTTCTTCCTTCTAGGTGGTAGACAAATGGTATAAGTGTAACGATAAGGAATCTTTTACCTTCTCACGCATGCTAATCAGAGAAGAAGGACTGCTATGTGGTAAGCATAGTATAATTTGTAGTCAAGACAATAATAGGATTGTGGACACCTTTTTACTCTTGATATCAATTGCTGCATTTTACTTCCACACCTGACAGTTTTTATGAAAAATACAAACAGTGAATTTGGATCTCATGGATTCTACTGAAGTCTAGTTCTGCGAATCATCCAATATGCATCATATCACTTAAAGCAGTTCTTATAAGCAGAGAGCTATAAAGTATGTAAAATGCTTCTTTCACCATTAGATTTCTTTTTTTTAGAGTTTTTAAATAAACTTTATTTACAAGAATTAAAAACATACAAATTTAAAAAATACAAAAACAATAGTATGTAAATAACACATTCCTCTTTACATTTGATGTCGAATTTGAAAAGTCCTAATAGTCAGTACTAACTGATACTTATCATATTTTCATTTACTATGACATCTTAATCACTGAGTAACTCACAATACTCTACTAATCTTCTCGTTGGTTTATAACTATTATGTAATTAATAATACATTCATATTATTTAAATAATGAATTAAAAAATATAGTAAATATATAATTATAATAATATAAGAGAAAAGAGGATTTAAAACCTTTATTATACATTTCATATAGACAGCTGAATATAATTTGTTTTTTGGGTTCATTTACATGTTTTTCCCTTGTAATCTACCCAATTGTACCATTTATCCCATATCCTGTAGTAATCTGTATCCTCCTTCCCATTGATTTTGAGCGTGAGCCTCTCCAATTGGGCACACTCATACGTTTTTTGAATCGTAACATGTATCGGTGGTACATTTAGTTTCTTCCAGTATTGTGCTAATGAAATCCGCGCCGCTGTTAATAAGTGGATGGTCAGATATCTTACTTTAGAGGTATAATCCCCTTTGATCATTCCCAACAGGAACAGTTCCGGTTTCCACTCCAGCCCACGCTCTATGATTTCTTCTATCCACTCTTTTATTTTTAACCAATATTTCTTTGTCTCAGGACAAGTCCACCATAAGTGAAAATAATTTATCATGCCATTGTTTACAGTCTGTGTGATTTTCTTGTAGCAACTAACTAGATGTTCCAACTGTTTCTTCATCTTGTTTGCAGGGACGGCATTTGCTATCTCTTGCATATTGTTACCATACAACCATGTGAAACCACAGCTGCCAGTTCTTTAGCTGGTATTGTCCTTCATTCACATCAAGGCCTTTCCAAGTCCTAGGATGTCATAATATACTGGCATAGAATTTGTGTGGATCCAAGTGGTGTGGCCTTTTCAATTGACAAATGGAAATGCTGTCAATGAACAGATTTCCTAAGTGCTGTCCAAGATTTGCAGGAGGACAATATAGCTCTGCTTCCAACTTAAAGCACTTCAGAGGCATCTTCGTGGCCAGTGTGAGAAACAAAATGCTGGACTAAGATGGCCCGCGCAATTATATTCCTATGTTATTGAATAGTACCTGCCATTAAAAGAATATATTTTTATTATGACAGAAGTTTTCTAAGAAACTATTACAGTGCTTTAAACAAATTTTCAAAGTGTGTTTAAGTTACTAATTAAGAGGCTTTGCCCCACTTTCCTTTTTCTTTCCTATTCATACTGTGGATTCCAATATACTTGAATTTTGAGAATCTCCTGTGTCTTTTGACAGGTGGCAGCTCAGGAAGTGCCATGTCTGTTGCCGTCAAGGCAGCCCAAGAGCTAAAAAAAGGCCAGCGTTGTGTTGTCATCCTTCCTGACTCTGTCAGGAACTACATGTAGGTACCCTGCCTTATATGTCTCTTCCTTCCCTACACTGATTGAGGTATGGCTGTCCAGCGATCCAAAGTCAAAGGGGAAAAGATTATTTGTAACTCCTTAGATATATACACTGCTCAAAAAAATAAAGGGAACACTTAAACAACACAATGGAACTCCAAGTCAATCACACTTCTGTGAAATCAAACTGTCCACTTAGGTAGCAACACTGATTGACAATCAATTTCACATGCTGTTGTGCAAATGGAATAGACAACAGGTGGAAAGCATAGGTAGTTAGCAAGACATCCCCAATAAAGGAGTGGTTCTGCAGGTGGTGACCACAGACCACTTCTCAGTTCCTATGCTTTCTGGCTGATGGTTTGGTAACTTTTGAATGCTGGCGGTGCTTTCACTCTAGTGGTAGCATGAGACGGAGTCTACAACCCACACAAGTGGCTCAGGTAGTGCAGCTCATCCAGGATGACAAATCAATGCGAGCTCTGGCAAGAAGGTTTGCTGTGTCTGTCAGCGTTGTGTCCAGGGCATGGAGGCGCTACCAGGAGACAGGCCAGTACATCAGGAGACGTGGAGGAGGCCATAGGAGGGCAACAACCCAGCATCAGGAGGGACAGGAGGCAGAGCCCTGCAAAATGACCTCCAGTGGGCCACAAATGTGCATGTGGCTGCTCAAACAGAAATAGGCTCCATGAAGGTGGTATGAGGGCCCGACGTCCACAGGTGGGGGTTGTGCTTATAGCCCAACACCATGCAGGATGTTTGGCATTTGCCAGAGAACACCAAGATTGGCAAATTCACCACTGGCACCCTGTGCTCTTCACAGATGAAAGCAGGTTCACACTGAGCACATGTGACAGACGTGACAGGGTCTGGAGACACCGTGGAGAACGTTCTGCTGCCTGCAACATCCTCCAGCATGACCGGTTTGGCAGTGGGTCAGTAATGGTGTGGGGTGGCATTTCTTTAGGGGGCCACACAGCCCTCCATGTGCTCGCCAGAGGTAGCCTGACTGCCATTAGGTACTGAGATGAGATCCTCAGACCCCTTGTGAGACCATATGCTGGTGCGGTTGGCCCTTGGTTCCTCCTAATGTACGACAATGCTAGACCTCATGTAGCTGGAGTGTGTCAGCAGTTCCTGCAAGATGAAGGCATTGATGCTATGGACTGGCCCGCCCGTTCCCCAGACCTGAATCCAATTGAGTACATCTGGGACATCATGTCTCGCTCCATCCACCAATGCCACGTTGCACCACAGACTGTCCAGGGGTTGGTGGATGCTTTAGTCCAGATGTGGGAGGAGATCCCTCAGGAGACCATCCGTCACCTCATCAGGAGCATGCCCAGGCGTTGTAGGGAGGTCATACAGGCACGTGGAGGCCACACACTACTGAGCCTCATTTTGACTTGTTTTAAGGACATTACATCAAAGTTGGATCAGCCTGTAGTGTTTTTTTCCACTTTAATTTTGAGTGTAACTCCAAATCCAGACCTCCATGGGTTGCTAAATTTGATTTCCATTGATAATTTTTGTGTGATTTTGTTGTCAGCACATTCAACTATGTAATGAACAAAGTATTTAATGAGAATATTTCATTCATTCAGATCTAGGATGTCTTATTTTTGTGTTCCCTTTATTTTTTTGAGCAGTGTATATCTCACCTGTCTGCAACTCCTTAAAGTAGCTGTACCTTTTTCTGGGCTCATAGGCATAATGCCAGGAAAACAGATTTGGTTTCAGGAGGTATGATGTGCAGGAATGAAATGCTCACATACGCATGCTCCAGATGACCCTTTTGATTTTGAATTCAAATTGTTTTACGGGCCAATCCTACTCTAAAGGAAAGGTTCTTACTCTGCTCGTTGTTTTTTGAGATCTCTAAAAACCTATTTTACTAGAACTTGGGGATTCATTCATAACTTGGATGGGTGAGTAGATTGGTTGGTTTTGGCCTATCATCTATAATCCACTGCTAAAAACACATGAATAGTTTGTTTGAAATCTGGCTCTCCTACGTGCTTTCTTAAAAGATATTTTATTTCACATACTGAAATAGCCTGCAGGTAGTCCTCAGCTTACATCCACTAATTCAGTGACAAAGTTATGCCAGAGCTTTAAAGATGGACATACAGTATATAAAGTCGTTGAAGTTCCAGCTGTTGCAGCACCGCTGCAATTACATGGTCGTAATCTAGGTGCTTGGGAGCCCAACTCACAATTACGACATAGCAGAGAACAATGGTCATGTGCTTACCATTTGTGATCTTCCCTGCCAGCGGTAAACTGGTGGGGACAACCTACATTGGGCTTCCCAAGCTGTCCCCAGCCTCCCTTGATTCACAGGTGGCCTGCACGGCACCTCCCAAACCTTCCAGCCTCTCCCCCCACACATTACACTCCCCCCGCTCCACTGCATGCACTTGCCTGGGGTTCCCATCAGATAGATTATGATGTCTGCTAGAATTTCTGTTGCTAAGCGATGCAGTCATATGACTGCATCGCTTAGCAATGGCAGTCCCAATCCCATTTGCTATCATAATTGAAGGACTACCTATATTTATATTTAGGGTAAGCCTTGAGACAAGGACATTCATGAAGAGGAGTCAACTTTTAAATGGCAACTGACTGAAGTCCTGTTCCTTTTTTCCCCATGCATCACACATTAAAAATTACTAGTTTTTGATTGCAGTCACAGATACTGTTGTGGAGCGGCGGTTACAGAAGGAGACAAAGCCAGGGCTAGGCTAACAATACTTTATTCAGTGAATAAAGGGTCGCCGCGGCTTCAGAGGCAATCTGACAGCCAGCTGGCGGCGACAGCTGATGCCGTTTGACAGCTCCCTTTTATAGCGGCTGTCAAACGGCATCAGCCAATGGGAGCGATCGGCGCTCCCGCTCGGATGGCGGACCAGAAGGGGAACTTCAGGCAGGTTCTTAATACACAACAGATACTATCTTGACTTTTTAAATCCCCATGTGAGAGCTGTGGGCAAGTGAGACCAGCTGCTTGTGCATTCCAGTGTGGCTGTTGCTTCTCTCAGTTATGGCAACAAGAGGTTGCTACTGCTCCATTCTACTTTGCAGTCTAAAATCAAGTTTTTCAACATCTCAGCCTACCCTTCCCATTGCTGCTGCTTTAGATGCTTTTGACTATCAGAAAGAAGTAATAGTAAAGGAAATAGTCCTGTAAAAAGCTTGTTCGATCTGTGGAAGAATAAATCAATAAAGCTTTTCTGCTAGCTACATGTTTAAAATAAAAATACTTTTATCATTTTCTATGACATTGTATCTCACATTATCCTTATTGGTTGTTTACATTTAAAGTAGATGTCACCTAAATTGATGTTTATGACTTAACTATCTTGGTGATTTTTAGGTCTAAGTTTTTAAGTGACAAATGGATGATCCAAAGAGGATTCATGAAAGAAGAGGATGATGATATTAAGAAGCCTTGGTGAGATGATAAGATCTATCATAATTTAATAAAATGCAGCACGTTTCCCCAAGTTTTAAACCTAATGGAACCATCTTGTTGGCTTCTTTTCTTGTTTTCTCCGAGTATATGGGTATAGTTTAATTTTTCTTTTCGCTCAGCCTGGATCTGTGCATGCTAACTGAAGGCAATACTTCATGTGTCTGAGAAAGTAGACACTAATAAAGTTGTTAGTTTTTAAGCCAGAAGGAGCCTTTTGAACATATTGATAGTTAATCCTTTCAAACAAGATTTAAAATCCAAGCCAATAATTCATTCATAGATTGAAGATTCTTGATGGCGGCTAGTTCATTCGTGTCTCCATTCCAGTTGCTAGAGAACATGAACAGGAAAGTGCTGTTGTGAAAGTTCTCGATTGTGAACTTCCCACAGCCTCTAAATGGCAATGGTGAGAGGCAGATAGGTCTTTGATCTGAACCAGGGTTTAACTTATCTTTGATTGATAAAAGGAAACATGCTTTTTCTGCCTTGGTACCCACCTTGTGGTACATCCTTCCCTCCAAAGTTAGATTAGTTCCATTCCTTTTGATATTCTGAAAGGCCCTCAAGTCCTGGTAACGTTATCAGGTCTGAAGCTCCCGGGATGCTGGAAACCTGCTGAGATGGATTTTGTTGTTGAGATGGCCATTTTTATTCCTCTAATTACCTACAGTTTGTATCATTGGCTTTTTATATTTATTAGTATGGAAGGCTTACACTTTATATCTGCAACTTTTTGTATTGTTTTATTTTATGGTTGTGCACCTTCCCTAGTCACTTTTGGTGAGATGATAGCTATATAAATTTGATAAATAAATACATAAATAAAATTAAGTTTAACAGCATTTATATTTATTCCTTATTTAAAGAATAATCTATAGCTAAGGACACATCTGAGAATGTAGGAAATGTTGTAAAAATTTATCATTTTTATTTCTCTTTCTTTCTTCCTTTGATGTCAGCAACAATAAGCTGTCTATACAAACTGTGCAACTTCCTGTTTGGCTCACAGCAGCACTGCTCTCAGTGATATGGTGATGGTATACACAAATGCAAATAGAAGGGGTATCTGAATCATACATTCAGTTTAAATGACCTTTCCTGGAAGTGAGTCAGGGATTAGCTGCTGTATTTACTCTTGAATACAATATAACACCATATAGTCTTTTCAGAAAAGCTTAAGTATAAAAAAATGCAATACAGTTTGTTCTTCTGTGCCTGAACTGTTAACGATATTTGCTCATTTCCTAGGTGGTGGCATGTGAAAATTCAGGAACTATGCCTGTCCGCCCCCCTAACTGTACTGCCAAGTGTTACCTGCGAAAAGACTATTGAAATACTCAAAGAGAAGGGATTTGACCAAGTACCAGTTGTGGATGAATCTGGGTATGTACAGTCTTCAATATTTTCTTCCTTTGTTCCAAATAAATCCATTTTCTGAAGAGTATAATGCCTATCTCTGTCCCATTGGGAAGTTATTTGTCTTTTTTGATTTTTTTCAAGCAACATCATGTCAGTCATGCTGTGGGTTTTCTGGTACAAATTGCTGCAATGTGATTGAATGGCAAAAGGATACCATATAATGTTGCTCCTTTGGCTCTCTGCTAATTGAACTTGCATTCAGTTAGCAGAACCTAAGAGGCCGATATGGGTAAAGGTTAGAGCCTGATGCAGGCACTTGGCATAAATGAAATGGGCTAATCAGCTGAAGCAACAGATTCTCCAACCTTATTTGTGTCAAGTCACAAGGACTGCATGATAGAATGGTACTTCCTTAAGTTTAAGGAGAAAGTGGAGCTAAGGTTGCTGCTTTTAAAATCTGCTTTTAAGGTTGTGACATGTTTATTATCTTTTGGTAGAACTGTCAAGAGAACTAAAAATGGCCCATAAAATTATTAACCGAGTTCTTATTGCATAGCCAGGTAAATAAAAAGTCAGTGGGATGACCAACCTGTCCAGGACAAATTGTGATCTGAGCAGGGTTGTTCCCAAAGTTCACCCCAGTTTAATAAACAAGGTTTGTTTAGTAAGTCTCTCATATAATCGGTACTAACAGTAGCTCAGATGTAAAAAGTCCTAGACACTGTCTGACCCAGACAGTGTAAATTATAGTGAAAGGTAAACAATGAGGAAGATGTAACAAAGAAAGAAATATCATTGTACTCTCACCTAGTCTGGCAGATCTATTTCAAATTATCAAAAGCTAACTCCAAAGTTTTAGGAGCTATGCAGACACAGTCATAAACTTTGGTTTAAAACAGGGATGCCCAACCTTGGCAACTTTAAGACTTGTGGACTTTAACCCCCAGAATTCCTCAGCCAGGTTTGTTTGCTACCGTTTTCATCCTGAAAAAATTCAAAATAGATATTTATTTTTAGAGGGCAGTAATGTAAGTGGAGCAGGTCAAGGTGGGGAAGGATCAACCTCCAGCAAATTGGGAATTTCAAAATTCTCTCCTCCCCTCTGAAAATGGTGGTTGGGTTGATAAAAGAAAGTAACAGTGTGAGATCAGTGTACTTGTCATCTGAATTTGTGGAAATGTTGATGTGAAGCTTCTAAGTTTTTTTTTAAAAAAGCATTGATACTACTCATTCAGTGCTCTGCTTGGGGTGTCCTTTTTTTAGACTGATTCTGGGGATGGTTACTCTCGGCAATATGCTCTCTTCAGTGCTTGCTGGTAAAGTACAGCCTTTGGATAAAGTCAGCAAAGTCATCTACAAGCAGTTCCAAACGGTATTGTGCCTTCTGTATATGTGTTTGTTTCTATTTCCTCCCCCACCTCCATGGTATGTAGAAAAGTTTCTGAAAATCTCACACATTGATGCAGGTTAAGGAAAGTATACACACTTATCTCACTCAGAGCAACATTCAGAAAAGATGTTTACATGCTTCAAATATTGGGTTCTAAAAAGAAGTTTTAGTGGTACCAGTGAACACAGTGTTGAGTATTCAGCTTCTAAAGCCTGACAAAAGCGACCTTTCAGTCTGGAATACTCTTTCTGTACACTGAAAATGCCTTTTGACAGAGGTTTTAAAATTATTAACAATACTATGGCAAATATATAGAAGCAAAATACATGTAAATTTAAGGGACAGAAACGGTAGTAGGAATCATTGTTTTTGTTGTACATAATAAATTGAAATTACGTGAAATAAAAAATGTATCTCTGTACTTTTTAATGTGCAAGTGTTAAGAACTTCCATGTATAGTCTCATCCTGCCTTCACTATGAAGCTACAACACAAATGCTGGAATGATAGTTGGTTGATGCTATAAGTTTGTTATTGTGGAGGTCTGTGCAGTGTCTCTAGTAGACAAAATGCTTAAATTGCAACCCCACACAGGGTTGATGGTATCAATTCACGTATATCCTGATTTGCACAGAAAAAACACCCCATAAACATATAGTACCTGTGATTTTTTTAAAAAAATAGCTCATGAATACATACTCTTTTTTTTTAGTCTTGTTGGAAAACTACTAGGTAGAATGAGGATCAGAGTTCTTATCTAAATGTGAATGGCATGTAAGAAGTAATAGCAATGTCTTTTAAAATCATGCAACTTTCTGTTACAGATTCATTTGCAGGACAACTTAGGAAAGCTCTCTCATATTTTGGAAATAGATCATTTTGCTCTGGTGGTACACGAACAGATTCAATGTGAGTATAAGGTTATTATTTATAGACTGTTCCAAATCAGATTTTGTCTTTTAAACTAGCATGTTTAGGACTGTAAGTTACTGAATTTCTAGTAACTTACAATGATTTAACATTTTCCATTAAATAAATTCAAATAAACCCATAGCCATGAAATAATGTTACTTCCAGCTTCTCCAATCCAGTGGGTTGAGCTGTTTTAAATCTTGGGTTGGACTGAAAAGAGTAGTCTATAAAATATAACATCTATATTAATAGTGGTACAACCAAAACTTTAACTGAAAGGTGTTTTTTAACTTGAGCAATGGTATTGATTCTAGTCCTGCCCTCATTACAATGCTATGCCTGCCTGTCATATATTTTTTAGAGAAAATG